AAATGTGTAGGTAGTGAGAAGAGTCATCACACATTTAACTGAAACTTGTACTAATGGACCCGTAACTAGGCTGGCGCACTTCATCAAACCTTCTCTTTATTACATGCTGGATAAAATGCACACACAACTGTGGTGCCCCTCATCTGTGCTGTGTGTACCCATAAACAATACAGTGAGTGTCGTCCATTGACATTTGCCTTCCTGAGCAAGGCAAGATGGGTAAGAGCATTCTATAACATTTCACAGCAGTAGCCAGACCAAGAGATAAATCGTCATTAAAATAATTTTTAAATATGCATGAAACCATAATTAATGTATAATTATGCTCAAAGGCAGAAGTAAAACATCTGCACACATCTATTTAAAGTTTAAGCAAAGTGTTTTTAAAGTGACATTTAGGAAACCTCTACCTGTTTATGTGAGTTCATGACTTATTAGGTAGTAAAAGGAAAGTGAAAAGTTTCAAAGAGTGTAGATGAAAAACAAAGGATAGCATTGCAAAAAAAAAAAAACAACCTTTCCAAAAGATTACCAATACAAGTTGAGTATGGTATATTATAATTCTTCCGTCAAAAAGTACATTTAAGCAATTTAGTAAAGAGCACGGTATCACCTATCACCAAAAAGAAAAAAAAAAAAAAAAGGAAACTACATTGTGTCACAGCCACCCTGGTGTTTCCTTGAGACACGAAATTCCTTCCTTGGGACGCACACACCTCTACTAGAAATTTTTCAAGAACCAAAATCAGGTGAACATTTTGCCTGTTGAACCTTCCTTTTCCTATTGTTTGCAAATAATCAGGATGGAAAATACATATTCATTTTAGGGAACATAGGAAAAGCTATCACAAGAGTAATGACTGCCATCTTGTGTGGTGTGATAGCAGCTGCCAGGTAGCTTAATGTTATCTCACCTGGACCTACATATGCTGGGCAGTGTTCCTACCCCATGTTGTGCACAGACCACCTGACAGACAAGCGGAGGAGTCAGGGTTCCAACCCAGGTGTGTGATACCCACAGCCAGCTCTCCTTCCACCATCCCTCCCCGTCTCTGGAAAGCAACTGGCTTCACGAAAGCCCTGTAACCAAACACCATCAGCTTTCTAGCCTGTTATGTGTGAGTAGCTTATAAACGCCTGGAATTTAACTCTGTTAAAAAAAAAAGATAGCATATTTAGTATGAATTGTAGCAAAAGGTCTACAAAAAAAAAAAAAAACACACCACCAACAACAAAAAAACCAACTGATGCTATTAAAATATTTATCCGGCTCCATAAAAATATATTCAATTTTTTATGGGCTCACATTCTCAGTTCAATTTTAAAAACTCCTATTTAGCTTCTGTGTGCCAGGAACTATGCCAAATGCTGTGTTTACAATGACAAAAAAGGCATGGTCTTTGCCCTGCTGTGCAATCTAATGAGGGACTACAGACTTTCAAGTCGCCGATTTCATTATGTAGTTTCACAAGTAAAGCAAAGATATTTGCCTGGCCTGGAATGTCAATGGAGGGGCGACTGAAAGAGGGATTTGGAACGGACTCTTCAAGGATGAGCAAGTAGGTAAAGGAAGGGAACACAGTCTGACACAAACATGATGCAAAAGGCCCTTAATCAACACCTGTTAAATGAATAGTACTTTAGGTAGGAGGGCAAGAGGAAGGGATCAGGATGGCCGCCATGATTTTAGCTCACTGGCTGGATGATGGAGCCACTGTCTGAGATAGGACACAGAAAGGGAGCAAATCTTCTATCCCATTCCAATCACAGCTCTGGATAAAGGTCGGACCAGAGGGAAATTATTTAAAATAGGTACCACTGCCTTGTCCTTTTCTGCCCCTGCCCACATGCAGCTGATTGCACAGAAGGGGCACCTGATCCATGATGGACTCATTAGTTTCTCCTCCCCAGTTAATGAACTAAGCAACACTGAAAGACTGAGTCGGGTGGCTGGAACGACCTGAGCTATTTTCAGGAAGAACTGCCTTTGGAGTCAGTGCTATGGCAAGGGAGTAATAATGCCAGTCAGTTTGAGGAGGGCAGCACAGCCCTGAGGAGTAGGATCCATCCATCCTCAGAAGGAGAAGAAAGGGGATGCGGCAGACGAAGGATGCAGAACAGACAGACACGGCTATCCCAGGGCTCCATGAGAGGAGGGTTTCCATCCCTGGCTTCCCAGCACCAGTTCCTCCAGGTTCTGCCTTTGGATGCTATGGAATGCTTTCCTTACAATAAATTCCCCTTAAGTTAGAGTGGACTTGCGGTTCTAACACCCGAATATGTATGCGGCAGGGGACATGAGTTCATTTCTGGACATGTTTAACTCTGAAATGCTTGTGGGTGAAGATGGCCAGCAGGTGGTCAAATAAATTAGGGGAGACTTTATGAATAGAGAGAAAGATGTGGCAACAGGGGCTCTGGTTTCCAAACCCACCAGTTTCTCTCTATCTCTAAGCTGGCCTCATTTTTTTTCTCCCTCTTGCCAGGTGCTATGAAGAATGAGAAATACCATGAAACACAGGGCTGCTCCTGTGACGAGCCATGTGGAAAATTGGGACTAATAATCCAGCCCTGTCAGAATCTCAGGACAATGATATGGACGGAATACCATCAGAGAGCTTAGAAAAGAGAAAGATCCTACACGAATAGAAGGTTTCACCCTCATCTCCCACTGGCAGCAAGTATAGAGAGGAGAAGAGTCCTAAGGAAAGAGGGAACGCTACCTGTAGCAGTGCTGTGTAGATGGTGGTACACTGGGTGCCTTCCGTGTGCTTCCGCTGAGCTCCAGTGGGCAGGCATCACCTATTTTTAATGCTCACAAGAGCCCCATGAGGAAAGTAGCATTGTTATTATTCTCAGTTTTCCGATGAGAATACTGACTCACAGTGGTGCTTGGGCCAGACCACTGGGACTCATCATCGTTCTTCCTGTCTCTGTCCACACCTGCACACTTATATAGAAGGGGCTGCCTACTTTTAGAAGATCTGTGGTGGAAGGGAGAGTTGAGAACTCATGGTTTACTCCATGCACCTGTAACCACACCAAAGGAAAGGCTCAGAATCTCTAAGCACCCATGAGCAGAAAGGAAGGGCATGAAGCCACCAGAAAGCGTGTTTATATTTTCTGTACCAAAGTTCAGACCAGGAAGACCATGGGGAATGACTCTCACCAAGGGCATTCATTGCCTTCCACCTTTGGTTCCCCACCCCAAACAGGAGCCAGTAGCATGGAGGAAGATGGGCCCTAATGCGGGGAGAGCTTGGGGACCTGGGGTCTTTCTGACCAGGGGTGGGTGTGCAAGGTGGAAGGTGCTGGAGAGGAAAGAGAGCAGAGAAAACGGCCCAGATCCGAAGCCTATTTTGCAAGAACTCCTGATCGAAGATACAGCTTTTCCCTGTACGCGTGGGGTGCTGGGGCCTGGTGGTAGGGGTCTGAGGCAAACGTCCTTGGTCCCTTAAGCTCCCACCCTGATGGTGGCAAATCCTCTGTAGAGGTGAGAATGGCTCAGTTGGTAAAACTAGAGAGAAGCCCCTTGACCTCTCTAAGTCTCAGTTTTATTCATTTCCAAAACAGAGACAATAATGCCCACCTTCAGGACTGCTGGGCGGGCTACACAAGATGACGGTGTAAAGGGTTCGTGAAAGCCATAAAGAACTACACCCTGGCTTGTCTAGTTCCCGATTATTCTCCTGTGTAAGTTGGCATCTCTCCTTTCAATGGTAGTACATTTAAGGAAAGGCCTTTGCTCAGCAGCCGCTGAAAACATGTATCTTGAGTGATGTTCCCACACAGGCCAGAGGCTGGGAAATGCCAAACAGGCTGCCTCCTGCATCTTACCTATAACTGCTCTCAGGACTGTCGGAACACCGCATTCCTGGGTCTGGGTCTCTATGTCTATAGTTTCCCTTTGTTCCAGTGTAGTCCATATTGAAATATTACACGATTTAAATCCAGTGTAGGAAAACAGTAGTCCCCCTTACCTGCAGAGGATACATTCCAAGACCCCCAGTGCCCCAGTGAATGTCTGAAACCACGAACCATATATATGTGTGTGTGTGTGTATGTGTGTATACATACACACACACACACACACACACACACACACATATGGTTCTTTGGTACTGTTCGTAATGTATATACACTTTGTTTTTTCCTATATAATATCTATGATAGAGTTAAATTTATAAATAAGGCACAGTAATAAGTTAACAACAATAACTAATAGTAAAATAGAACGATGATAACAATAAACTAAGGGATACTTGAACACAAGCATTGCAATACTGCGACTATCGAGCTGATAACTGGGACGGCTACTGAGTCCTAAGGGGCAGGGAGCACAGACAGCACGGATGCTCTAGGCAAAAGGATGATTCACGTCTCAGGCAGGATGGACTGGGATGGCCTGTGATTTCATCATGCTACTCAGAACAGTGTGCAATCTAACACTTATTAATTGTTTATTTCTGGAATGTTTCATTTTATGTTTTCAGGCTGCAGCTGAAAGAAGGTAACTAAAACCATAGAAAGCAAAACTGGATAAGGTGGGGGGGACTACTATATAAGGAAATGTTTACCAAAGCAGTGCGTCTATCAGGAATAGTCAAATTAAAACAACAGCTACAAAATTCAAAACAAAAACAAAGACTCCACTGAAGGCATGCTTTATAGGACATTTTCACTGAATAAATTCTATCTTTGTGGCTGCTGCCAATCACTCTGGACAGTTCACAAAAGAGAAACCTGTCTTTTTCCCTTAACGATGTGTGCTTGAAAGACACATAACATAATGTCAAAACTTCACTTTTCCAACACAAGGATCAGAAAATTTAACCTTCATCTTTTATCAAACATCTTCATCACTTGATTAAAAAAAAAATTCCCTTCCAGGAAAACAAAAAGTTTCCACTTAGAAATACATTTAAACACATGAAATCTCATAAAAAAGAAAGACAAATATTATCATTTGTCTTTAAAATGTTTAGAAGTTGGCAACTCACCTCTGTTTCAGTACTCTTTGGTCAATTAGTCCAGTATCAAGGTTTTCAGCTGGACAGAAAGATGCAATCTGCTCCCTACAGTTGGCTGGACTGGAAGACTGTTCATTGCTGTCAACCCAGAAAGAAGAGGTGGGTCAGGGGCCATTCAACAGAAGCTACAACCTTTGACCTCACAGCGGCTCTGAGTGTAGGAGTGCGCCCACAGTAAACATATGATCTGTGTCTACTTCCAAGATCCACATTAGAGTCATGACTAAGAGAATTAAAAGAAAGACCTTCTGGGGTCATCTCACTCAGTGGTTCATAAAGGCAGTCTACAGGAGGTAGACTGATGCCAGTTCACAATGTTATTTCCACTGATCAGTCATACTTCTAAATGGTGTTAAGATAATCCTTTCCTTGAGGAAATTATGGTGATAATAGAATGTATCTTGATTGGTTAATAGTCTTATTTGGCCAAAAAAAAAAACAATTAACTCTATGTCAGCGCCCTTCTCCACTCCCTGCCACTTTTAGGGACCTTTTGTTATCTGTGAAACCTCATGATATTAGAACCACATTCTATTTTCTGAGTGAAGCAGCTGAAGCCCAGAAGGGAGAGCAACTTGCTCACCACCACAAGCCACACGATAGGAGTGCCCGGGGTTGACCTCATTTTTCAACTTCCTGTTCAGTGATTTTTCTGTCAGCTTCAAAAAGAACAACAACCAAAAGCAATGGCAACTACTCCTACCTATTATATATTCCTATCATTTGCCTAAGTCTGAATATCCTTTCCAGATGTGGCTTACAAATCCTTCTCAAAATAACGTACCACGCAACCATTAGCCATTAAATGAAATATGCACTCAAGTTGAAACCCATTTGCAATCTTTAATCTAGAATACCATTATAGACTCTTTAGAAGGAGTCTTGAGTATCATTTATTCTACCTGCTTTGATTTACAGTTGAAACGCAGAAAAATCTCCAAGGTTTCTAGATGGGTAGCTAATATCAGAACAAGGGTTTGAAATCAAGTGTTTTGATACCTAACTTCGGGGAGGGTTCTTTCTACAATACCATGTTTCTTATCTTTATTAAGCACTTTCTGAGTTTAATTAAATAACATATTCTCATGCCTTTTTCTATTATCATGATTCCCACATGACAATATACTTGTCAAGTGACAATATATTTGACAATAAGCAAATATAACCAATGAGCCCACCTGCAGTTGTGGTTTTGTACCAGAACAACCCTTAAAGTGAGTCAGCTACATACTGGGTAGAGTGAAAAACCCTCACTCATAAATCACTGGTCAACCATTGTTCCAAGTCTTAGCTAAATTTGAAACTAGCTCTTAATCAGGTTAACAAAGCTTCGTATTTAACAAGAGACTATTTTGGTCTGGGAGAAGGAAAAGAGATTTTGTCAAAGATTGTGATGCTCCTAACATTAGTGTGAATTAACATGAAGTTAGATACTGTATTACTTTTCACAGACTACAGATGAAGCAGCAGGAATGTCAACATTTAACATAATCAATCTACGTCAGTGGTAGACCAGAAATGAAGCCCAGATTTCCTGGCAGTCTGGCTAGTTCTCTTTTACTGGAGAACATTATACACTGCTTTGCAGTGGCAACAAGGCTGTCTGTTTTCTTCCAAGTTATGCTTAAGGCCATATCAAGATTCCACTCAACTGAAGAGAACTTCAGCTCAAAAGCCCGACTCATCCAAGAATTTCAGGATATTGCTTTGAGCCTTCATTGAGGTTCACATCCACCCTTTGCTGGAAAGAAGTAAAAGCATGCAATGGTAACTTCACAAGTCACATATTGAAGAATGTGCTTTTGCATAGATATGTCAAAATCCTTCAAAAAAATAGGATGGTATAATCTCCAAACTAACCATGGACCATCCCTTCAAGCTTACTGCCCCTTCCAAGTCCCAAATATCCAAATATTCTAGAAATCAAACTACTTAAGCCAGGTCTCTCTAACACTATGTTGGTTATCGGAGAGCAAGACATATATATAAAAATTACAGGTGTAATATGAAAAAAATACATAGAATAGATTTCATCAAACATCACAATCTTATTTTTAAAATTAATGAACAATTATTCTACAGCAATTATTTAACCTTAAAAAACATGCAAAATTCTAGAATATGGAAAAACCAAATCAGAATGCTTGGAATGATCCTGGGGCATAAATGTGTAAAGTGAATATTGAAATTTTGTAATTCCTGTTATCATTGCAAAAGTCAGTGGTAAAAATAAAAACAAATGAAAGCATCCCTAAACCTCAAAGCGACCACAAATTTTTCTGCATGACTTTTGTGGGATGCTATCATAGCGTTCAGTATTCTGAGAACACTCTTGAGAAATTAGAAAACCCATTGTATCAAGAGTCTTTAGCAAATGGTATTGTGAAGACCTGCAGCAAACTATAATGTGAAGGCCTCTAGGGGAGAATATAAACTAGTTACTATAAGGAATCCTTGGCAAATAAACACATACATAAATAAATAAAGAGTTGAGGGAAAAGCAAAGGAGCAGCAAAAATGCCTTTCCCAAACCCTGACTTTAAGACCCAAGCTGAAGGAATCCATTTCTACCCATGTTGTACGTACATTTCAACCACTTGTTATAGAAGTTTCTACATAGGACTACCCTAACCACTGGAGTCAGTGTTTACAAAGTGGTGCATTAAAAATACGCATCTCGATTCATAAATCTTTGCAAGGAGTGTTCTTTATGCAGATGTTAGAAATACTGCACACACAGTCCAGCTGGAAATTGTCACAGTTTTCAAACGTCATGCTATAACCATCATGGGGAAAGCACAGCAGCAAAGACAAAGCACCTGTGAGCAGACTTACTCTGGGGCTGCTGCTGTTTGCACAAGCTGGGCTGGTTCTTTAGGGCTTCCGGGAGACGTCAGTCCTTGACTCTTCTCCTTATACTTTTTAATTAAATCCATCAGAACTGCCTGGTGCCCAATTTTTTTCACCAGCTGCTGAACCATCCGATCATTAAGTGCTAGAAGGGCGACCCCACTTACTTCCTCCTCTAGGAAAAAGAAAGAGAAAAAAAGCCTCTATGTGCCTGTCTGCTAAAACATTGTAAAACACAGCACTCTGAGCAAGAAAAAAATTATTTCTGGTGTTACGATGATCATCTAAACTTGTCTTCTGATATTATACAAATATCTATATTTTTGACAAAGATAGAACACTGATATTGCCTGATTCCAAATCGATATCTGCTCCTAAGAAAAAACTAGAACATGGAGTCACAATAAAATCTTATTACTTCTACATTATTGCCATACACACTACCCGCCCCCTCCTCCTTCTGATTCTTTCTTACTGGCATCGTTTTTTATAAGGAAAAAAATCTTCTCAGAAAATTATTCTTAATAACACCTCCCAAGCAAGGCTCACTACTTGGAAATCCAGCACTGCACAAAACACATGCTTCATTATTAAAGGAAAAAAGTAGCATCAAATGATAACAAATATGTATTTTAAATCACTCTTAAGACTTTATTTTATTTGAGTTCTTTTTGAAATATATTCTCCTGTGGATACTAGGCCACATGCAAACTCTGCCAGTCAGTCAAGAAATGCAAATTCCCCACTGCAGCAACTCCATATCCACACTCTCAGGCATCAGGCAACACAAGCAATTATCAATAACAAAGCACACTCAATATCTATGCAGCTCAATTAACATTGTAAAAAGCATAAACAACTCACCTTGAAACCTATGAACTAGCTCTCCTAAGTTTTTCTCCACCAACCAACTGCAGACCTGATCAACTGACCAAGCTTCCATTGCTGTATCCTGTAAAAAAATACACCTGTAGAATAGAAGGATTCGTCAGCTTTTCTTGCTGATTGTTGCTTTATTTTATTTTAGATTTTTACCAGTCAGTTATTTAATCTCAGCTCCTTCCTTTGGCAAATTCTTTTCGACTCTCAATACTAAGCTTCTTTAAAATTGCTATTTTCTGAATACACATCTACAAGTGGCTAGCAGAACAAACACTCTTTAAAAATGAGACTGATTTGAACCTATTTCCTAGTCTCATTGCTCATATTTCTCCATCTTCTACTTTTTTGTCCACAGGCATCCAGTAGCTTTACTAACAGCCAGCCAGAAGTGTACAATGGTACCCAATCCTGTACCATTAACACCCAGGTTTCTTCACAAAGAAAAGAAAGGTGTGAAATTCACCACTACTAGGCGCATCAGGAAGTGGTTGACATTTACAAAAGGGGTAGGCAGGGGAGGAAGGGAGGAAGCACCAGATAAAAGCCTTACAGAGATACTTAGTAAACCAAGACTGGTTAACCCCTTGCTGCTGCTGCCCAGCTAAGAGACAGAGCCCGTAGCTGCTTCTGATTACTTTTGGATTAGCAAGAGGAGGAAGCAGAAGCCAAATTTATCTAATTTCTCTGAATATTTCTTTCCTTCCTTCCAGTAATAGTCTTATATATTCCATTCAGTTCTAGAATTTTACTGAATACCATTAAGATTGGTAAGATAGCTGGGAAAAACTAGCACGCTGATTGAAAACATTTTTTTTTTTAATTTGGGCAGATCCAAAATGGAAAAATTATTAACTATGTTAATCATAAGTGAAAGACGTGCTTTCAGAATTTAAAGTATTCTCTAACTATTCAATTGTTTTTGCTTGCTACTATTCATCTGTAACCACTTAGAAATTTTAAAACACGTATACCAGTTTCAATGATTTTTCCTGTTTTCCTGAGGCAGCTCTCTGTGTGTGTGTGTGTGTGTGTGTGTGTGTGTGTGTGTGTGTGTTGTGTGTTTATAATTCAATCCAAATTACTTTTTGGACTGGGAAGAAACTGAAAAAAAATGCAAAACATTTTAATCTTTTAGTGTTACTTTCGATTTCATCTTTCAACCAAGATTATGTAGATTTACTTGTACAGTAAGACACTGACTCTTTTATAAAAACAGGAAAATGCTACTCTTGGAGACATGGAATCATACGGAAAGATAAAAATATTAGATCATGGATTTACATTTATTGCTAGAAGTTCTCAAAATAAATTTTGTATTTTAATTTCAGTGTATTTGAGTAAGTTGACGATTTCCAACATCACAGAGAGGTGGAAAGGGAAAACATATTTACCTTTCATACTTGACAATTTGAAAAGATAACAGCCTTCAAAAATCATTTCCTAGAAAACAAGTGTACTTCAAAGTAATAAGCTACATTCTTATAAGTATTCACAAACACCAAGCTGCAAAACTGAAAACAAGGGTTAAGTACAGAATAACGCCGTTCTGAATTACAGCAGTGGATTTAATTTGCTAAAACAACAGTAGCCACAGAACTCCTCCCCTTAGGCTAAGCAGCAAGAGCAGGGTGTGAAAAGTCATTATTTGCACGACTCTGGCGTAAATTAAAAATCACACCTTCCTGTCACACTTCTGGCTTCCTTGTGAAGAGTAGGACTTAGAAGAAGAAAAAAAAAACAACAGATAAAAAAAAACGAAACCAATTCTCTAAACCCCAAGATTAAAAGGTATGCAAGGCCAGAAGATACTTCCCTGCAGCCCTCAAAGGATAAAAGGGAATTTAAAAATAAAATGAGTACTTAGAAATCTTCTCATATGTTTTAATTCCTAGATTTTTACCTAATTCTACTACTGGGGAAAACAAAACAGCTATCAAATTATAACCTCATACAAACAAAATAAGATTTTTTTTTAAGTACTACAGTTTTGAGAAGGTCCAAGATGGTGGAATAGGCAAAAAAACACTACAGTGTTTGCTATATTTGTTTATTAAAAACACTACATTTGTTTTTCTGAGTATTTCAGAAAATAAAATAATATCACTGCCTAGATAATATAAAATCTTTAAGTAGCAACCTTACAACTTCCTCTCACCTACAGAACAGATAGATTATTTATGATTTTATACATAAAGGAATAAAAGATATGTCAAATCAGAAAAGACACATCCAGCAGCTTTACTGCATATCCAGAAGTTGCAGAAACATCTGAAAGGATTTTGAAATGTGAAGACAAGTACTATTGCTAAATATTTTAAGACACAATAATACAAAGAGAATAAAAATTATTACTAACATTATGTGTGACTACTCCAGCCAAACTATTTTCATTACTTGATTAAATTATACTTCAGTTAAAAAAAGTTTCTATTAAATATTAAGGGATCTCACTTAATTAAAGCCAGGAAAAGCTAAAACTTTAGCTAAAACAACCTAAATGTGGGCAACTTTTATTTAACAAATTTGTTAAAACTCCAAAGGAAGGCAATAGTGCAAATTGCTATGAGTTGGTTTATAATCTTCAAAAGAGATGTAGCATATAAAAACATCAACCACAAAAAAGCACTTTTTAAGGAAATATGAAAAAAATATTTTGTCACTTTCTTTTCTGTTTGCATTTTTTGCTTTTAAGTCCCCAGAATCTCCAAGCTAAGGCAACAAAAGATTTTTAAAAGTTTTGCTGGTGGCATATGCCCTTTCCTGGGTTAATGGCTCGTTCTGCCCTGAGAAAAGACATCTCCCACCAGGGCTGTACTTGAAGGGACAAGCTTATGGGTGTGACTATTGCAAGGAGCAGTGTCCCCGCAATCTTGCTGGGTAGCAACCTTACTCCAACATGAAGCAAGACATCATTGTACTCTAGTGGAGCCAAACATCGCATCCACTCTGTGCCATTGCTCCTTCCAATCGTCACCAGATCAGGAGGAATAAAAACTGGAATAGTCAACTAGAAGACCTGCATACTTTAGTCATCAAAATGGTTACTGCCCAGATACACCAAAGAAGTTAGAAGCCTTACCAAGAAGATAAGACACCTACATAAGCAGATATAACATAAAGTCAATTATGATGGGTGTCATAAAAAGCACTATGAGCCGGATTTTC